TAGTGAAAAGTTAACAAAACTTGAAACGGGGAGGGGGGGTGTTGTCCTTTCAAAGTTGACGTCAATCATGATGCTCTATCTAAAAGGTTGGGGAAAAAAAAGAAAAGAAAAGAAAGGAAGAAAAAAATATAGACCCCATTTTCTTGGCCTAAAATTATCACAGGTAATTATTTTGATTGGTTTAAAGTTGTCAATGAAGGATTTGACAGTTCAGGTATTTCTTTGTTGTATTCTTTAATATACAATAGTTTTTATTTTTTGAAAAATGTAAAATAAAGATCAAAGGTGAGGTGTAGATATAAAATGCACCATGTACAGGTTCATTCTAAATTTACACGTACATTATAGCTGATGTCAGCTTGGGCCGGGGTGTCCTGAGAGAGATGACAGAAGATGACAAGGGGGGAGGGGAGGTCATTTTTGGCCAAAGTTTAGCTTAACGTCATTTGTGAACGGTCCCTTATTAAATTAATGTAGCTGAAATTACTTACCTTTTTGTGTGTACCGATTTATTTATTACGTAATACTGTAATTGAAATAGCCTGAAAAGATGGACGAGAACGGGAGGGGACGAGGCAAAGCAAGGGGATGAGGCAAAGCGAGGGGATGAGGCAAAGGAAGGGGAAGGGGGGGGGGGATGAGGGTGGAAATCAGTGTGCATATGTTTGTTTTATTTTAAAAAAGATTTTATAGCAAGACTGGTCTTTGATGTGTTCGTCGTTAGTCTGATGAAGGTGTACTTTTTAAAATTTACCCAAGTTTACCCCCTTAGCACTGGTTTTATTTATGCCAGCAAAGGAAAACAGTCATCATTTTCAATTTTGACAGGATCTTTTATTGTAATTGTTTTGTGCCTTCATTGACATGATTTAGAATTGTTGTAAGGCTGCTTCGTTCCCACATGCAGGGCCAACCATTGCTGAGTGGGACACGACATCCCAGCTGTCAGACAGAGGTTGTCGATAGAATAAATTTGCAGACAGGAATTATTGAATAAATTTGCAGTCAGGAATCGAACTCTTGTCTGCTGTATACCCAATAGCAAAAAGCCTTACCATTGCATAACAGAAGCCGGTTATCGAGTACTAGAAGTTGTAAGAATTTTTGCTCACTGACCTTAGCCTGGGTATGCCCTTAACTCAGGTAATAGTGCTGGACTACTGTGTGGATAACCCTGGTTTGAGTCTCGAAAGCAGTGTTCCTAAACAGGGTTGTCTGTGGGAATTCTGAAGGCCCTCCACCCTCTGAACTTGGTCTTATTAGAGATGTACGTTAAATTTGGGCCCATTTCCTATAAATAAATAGATAAATACTTTAATACAGTAATACATTAACAAGTAGTTTTATGGATTTCATTTTGTTGATCCCCTTGGGAAATTTTGTGAATATGATATGTATATATAGGAATAAATAAATAGATAGATACTTGAGTACATTAAAACATTAATAAATAAATTAATAATAAATTTAACTGTGCTGATCCCCGTCGGAAATTTGTTGTACAATGGCGTACTTAAATGTACAAATACATAGATACGTATATGAATCAATACATAATAATGAT